ACCTGCCACTTCTCGGGACCCTAGGACCACGAGCCTGCCGTGAGACGTCCCGGCCCCCAGCGAAGCTCATCTGCCCAGCTTTGGGGGCTGCGGGGGCTACGGGCGCGCGCCACGGCCCGCTGGTAATGGACGGCCTGGAGAAGACTTGGCTCGGCCGCGTCCATGTTTGCCGGAGGGTTTAAAGTCCCTGGAGGATGACCTAGCACTTCGCAACCCCACCGGCCTCCCCTGGGCCCCCGAGGACACGCCGGCCCGACCCGGAGCTGCCAGGCCGGGTCGCATTGAAACTTGCGGCGCTGCGCACCGTTGGGTATCAGGGCCTCGGACCATCGCTCCTCTTGAACTCACGTTTAGTACAATCGTTTCTTTTCGAAGAAGGGTTTTTCTTTTGCGTTTTTGTTGACTTTTTTTTTTTTTTGAGAAGGGAATTTGGGGCGGGGGCGGGCGGGGGGACAAAAAGAAGGACCGCTCACCGGGGCATCCATAAAGGGGATAAGGTACTGCCGGCGGCGCGAGTCGGAGACCTTGGGTCCAGGATGGATGTGGCAGACCCGCAGCAACTGGGCATGTTTACAGAGGGCGAGCTGATGTCGGTGGGAATGGACACGTTCATCCACCGCATCGATTCCACCGAGGTCATCTACCAGCCCCGCCGCAAGCGCGCCAAGCTCATTGGCAAGTACCTGATGGGGGACCTGCTGGGGGAGGGGTCCTACGGCAAAGTGAAGGAGGTGCTGGACTCGGAGACGTTGTGCAGGAGAGCCGTCAAAATCCTCAAGAAGAAGAAGTTGCGGAGGATCCCCAATGGGGAAGCCAACGTGAAGAAGTAAGTGTGGGCTTTCTGACCTGTGCAGCTTTGGATGTCCCAGGCCCGCCAGTGTCGTCCTCCTTCCTTCCTTCCCTTACTCCCTCCTTCCTTTTCCTTCCTTCCTTCCTTCCTTCCTTCCGTCCTTCCGTCCTTCCGTCCGTCCTTCCTTCCTTGAGGTGACCAGCTGTTCCTGCATCCCCTTGCCAGAGAAAGTGTCGTTGGAAAGGTGCTTCAGTACTTTCAGGAAGTCAGGCTAGCTTGTTGTAGCTGGGTTCTGGTGCCTTTGGCTCTTAGGTGCCAGTGTCAGAGTTGTCCTCCGTAGGGGCACGTCCCTCTTTTCCTGGCTCGGCCAGCTGTCCAAAGAACTTAGGTGCCCGGTGGAGCCAGCCAGTGTTTGTTTGGCCCTGAGAGTTTCTGCCCGGAAACGGCCTTGGAGGCCATCAGTTTTTCTGCTTAGTGAGCAGCCAGTATGGTACTAGCGCCAGGCGAAATGCGATTTGTTTATCCTGTTGGAGGGGAACCCTGTAGTTGCCAAAAATAATTGTTTGCACCGGCTTATCAGTCAGCAGGGGGTACTTATCCCTTCCTGCTGGCCTGGATGTCACTAGATATCCCTGACTGCAGGCCCAGTGACCCCCAGAGGGGAATTGCTTGTGTCCTGGTAAACTTTTTACATGAATTTCTTCTGCGCAATCTGCCCCCTAGGTATCCTGGAGGTGCCCAGGTCTGCTATCAAAAGTCCCCCAAGGGCGGTGGGGGCTCTGTCTCCTTCCTCTTCTAGTTTCAGGATGGGGGGTGTCCCTCCTTATTGCTGCCGGGGGTGGAACCCTGCCCTACCCACACCCACGCCCCTCCCAGCCTCCAGATTCCCAGAAGAGGTTTATCTAACATGCCAGGCAGCAGGACTTACTGTGACCTTGGCCTGTCTGGTCCGCAAGCAGGCAAGCAGGCTGGCCAGGCCAGTCCTGTCCTGGAAGTGCCGCTCACTGGGTGAGCTTTCACCTCCCTCCTTCCCACTGGCAGGAGAGCTGGGCTGTTTTCACTTGCTCTGGAACACCTGGGGGAGTGGAAAGGGGGGTGGAGTAGAGAACTGGGGTTGGACTGACAGGGCACCTTGTTAGTGCCTGGTATTCTTTGAGCCACTTGCAAGGTGGGTGGGACAGTGGGCAAGGTAGGTTGTGTTTTGGTGAGGCCTTTTTACAGCCCATCCTTGAAGACACTGGGAGAAGGTGTGGCTGGGCACCTTAGGGCCAGTTGGTCAGTTCTCTGTACCAGTCTCTCATCTGTGAGGTGGGTTGGGCAGGAGCCATGGTGTGTCCTTGGGGAGACTCAGGCCCCAAAAGCAGACGCCCCCCTGAGGGTCAAGTGAAGCCTCACTCTCAAGTTAGAAACTCCCACTGGACTGCTGGCCCTAAGTCATGTCTTCTCATTAGAAGCTTGTGGGGACCGTGTGGCCCTCAGGCAGCCAGATTGCTACTACTGCAGGTTGAGGGCAGTGAGTTCCTGCATTTGGAATGCTGCCCTGGAAATGGATCTCCCTCCTGCTCTCCAGTGTTGTCCTTGTCCTCCTGGCTCCTCTTAGGCATCAAATCCCATCTGTCCTGGAACGGGCTCTGGTCTCTTCCCGCCTGGCTGAGCCCTCCGGATGGAATCGGCATTGGTCCATCGACGTGTTCTGGTGCTGGCCACTTGATGTTCTGCTGCTGTGCACCCCAGGCCCCAGCCTCTCGGGAGCAGCAGCCCGAGGTAGGAGGGGTTCCCAGAGTCCCTTCCCAGTGGCTGGGTTCCAGCACCAATTGATCTGTCTGGCTAGTCATCCACCAAGCCCACCCTGCTAGCCATAGGGGGTCTTGGTGTATGTAGATTAGGGCACTGACTGGTGGTAGCAGGGTTAGCAGGTCCCAGAAGGTCTACACTCCCCCACCATGATGGAGGACATGTCAGGGTAGACAGGGGTCCCCCTTTTGCTAAGGTGTAATGTACCTGTGATAAGGCGCCCTTTCAGGAGATGCAGTTTCTGCACGCCAAGGTTAAGTTAGAGGGCACTCGAGAGCTCCCTCATGCTCCACTAGAGACACAAATGACCAGAACCCAGCTGGAGGACCGCAGGGCGCTGGCATCCTGCTCCTGGTTTCCTGAAGGATCAGCTGAAGTCCCAAGAGCGTATGGAGACTTGTGGGCATGTAGTGTTGGGGTTGCATGGAGCTGGGTTCTGAAGTGTCTGTGGGAAGAACTGGAGGGGAAGCAGGCCAGAGTGGCCAGTGGTTGGTGGTCCTCAGCCAACCTGGCAATTAACATAAGATGTCAGTAGCAGGCACTGAGCCAGCGCTCAATTTCATCAACTCAGGCCTGGACCTGCGTGCAGAGGTTCCCCTTTATGAGTTTTCCCTTGGAGTGCTGGGCTGGCTCAGAGCTGTCCTATCCACCTGGTTTTGCAGCTGGGATTAGAAACTGGTTTTGCAGCTGCACCTCCTTTCTTTCTTTTTTCTTTTTTTAAAATATATTTTATTGATTTTTTACAGAGAGGAAGGGAGAGGGATAAAGAGTTAGAAACATCAATGAAAGAGAAACATCGATCAGCTGCCTCCTGCACACCCCCTACTGGGGATGTGCCCGCAACCAAGGTACATGCCCTTGACCAGAATTGAACCTGGGACCCTTCAGTCCGCAAGCCGACACTCTATCCACTGAGCCAAACCGGTTAGGGCTGCACTTCCTTTCTTGAGCCTCTGCTCTGCTGTTCCAAGTCCACAAGAGATTGGGTGGGCCTACCCCATGCAGGTCTCTGGTCCTGAGGGGACAGTTGTCAGCTCCCTGGCCTGGAGAGCTGGGCTCCCTTGCTGCCAGCTAGCCCACTGCAAGGGAAAAAGGCTCCTTTGTCTGCGAGAGGTTTAATAAACTCGACTGCAGTCACTGCTCTTAGAGGAGTGTCCAGAACCTTCCAGACAAGCCTCAGTTGGATCAAAGCTTTTTTCTGAAAGAACAATGTTTGCCCAAGTGGTGGGACAGATCAGAATGCCCTTCTCTCCTTCATGGGCTTTCTCTAGGAAGGCTGCTGTGGGTCTGTACGTGTCCCCTTGCTTGTTCTTATAAAACAGCAAAGTTCAAAAAAGCATCAAGTAAAAATGAACAATTTCTTGTAATCTTTTTTTTCTTTTTTTTTTGTTCTTTTTGTCTTGTAATCTTAATACTGATGTATCTTGCTCCACTTCCTTCTTTATTTGTTTTCTTACCTTATCCAAGCAAATTTTAATAAAAAATAAAATTCCCTTAAGGATCACTTTTAAACAATAAGTTGAATGTACTTGTGTTTCCAATAGGCAGTAGAACTGCACAGATCAAGCCCAAAAGAAGGTGTCTGGGGGGGGGGGTCACCCCTGCTCCCTCTTCTTGGGTATAGACAGTTCCCTACCAGGTGGGCACACTCTGGGGTGCAGGTGATGAGGAGGTCCAGCTAGGCAGGCCCTTATCAGGGCTGAGGGAAACCCCCACTACAACTGCACAGATGACTTGAGAGAATACATGTCATCAAAGAGTGGTCTTTATGTGTGTTTTTTGTTTTGTTTTCATGTTTAGAAACATGAAACAGTTTCACTCCTGCTTAGTACCAAAGTCTTGGCGTGGTCTGCCCTGCAGCCCAAGCCAGTCCACCTTTCTGTCCCACGGTGGGTCTCTCTGTTCATACTGGCTGAGTCTGGTCCTCCCTGTGCTGTGGACGTTTCTGCTGTGTTGATGAGTTACTTTGTGCCATGTTGCGTGACAAGCTCAAGGGTATGAAGGACATATCACCAGAAATGGAGTTTCTCGATCAGAAGAAGGGTGGGTGAGTTTGATAAGCTGTGTGCAGACTACCGGTCCACCACAGCTCAGTGTCACATTACAACTTATCCTCTATTGAGTATGGTTTCTGACACGTGTCTGCTGTTTGTGTTAGGGAAGTGACAGTAAGATGTGCTTGGCCACCCAGGCTGTTTCTTTTCCCTTGGCTGGCCTCAGCAGAGTAGTGATGGCTCTGGGAGTAGAAGCTGGTGTCCTTGCTGGGCCTGACAAGGCTGGGACTTCCTTGCAGTGATGGGCAGGTACTTGGATCTGGATGGTAAGTGGTTGTGAGTTAGCGCATTGAGGACCAGAGCCTTGGACTTTGTTGGCTTTCATTCCTGTCCCACGTGGCCTCTACAGGTCCCAGCACCTGCTGGGATGCCTACCCTCCTCGGTATTGGGAAGGATTCCGCTGTGAGGCCACACTGGCCGGCTGCCAGAGCAACAGCAAGAGGGCACAGCCACCTGCCGAGGCTCACCTGCACCGAATGTCCTGGGGGCCCCCCTGTTTGCCTGGTCTTTCCCTGATAGAGGGGCGACTCTGAGATGCAGTGGGAGCATGAGGCACTGGGCCAAAGTCCATGTAGAATTCTGGCTCTTCGCCTCTGAGTATGTGGGGAATCATAGTCGCTTTTCCCTTTATCTCACATCCACCTGTGGCTGAACTATCATTTATTTTATTTTACTTTTATTTTTGGTTAATCCTTACCCAAGGATATTTTTTGCATTGATTTTTTTAGCAAGAGTGGGGTGGGGGAGAGAAACAGCGTGAGAGAGACACATCAATTGGTTGCCTTCCCGCACATGCCCTGACTGACTGACCAGGAGGAGGGATCAAACCTGCAACCCAGGTATGTACCCTTGACTGGGAATTGAACCCGAGACCCTTTGGTGCGTGGGTTGACTCTCTAACCACTGAGAACACTGACCAGAGGCTGTCGTTTATTTTTTTTTTTAACAGCTTTATTGAGAGACAATTTTTGTAGCATAAAACTCACCTAACTAATGTGTAATTCACTGTCATTTAGTACTTTCACAGATTGTGAAACCTTTACCACTACCTATTTCAGAACATTTCATCATCCCAAAAGAAACCCTTCCCCATTAGCAGTTACCCACCCCCCCACCCCCCCGTCCTCCCCTAGCCTCTGGCAACCACTAACCCACTTTTTGTCTCTGGTTTTGCCTGTTCTGGACAGTTCACATAAATGGAATTATATACTGTGTGGCCTTTTGTGTTTGGCTTCTCTCACTGAGTTTCGTGTTTTCAAGGTCCATCCATGTTTTAGGGAGTGTCAGCACTTCACTCCTTTTTATGACTCAGTAATTAATATCCAGTTTGTGGATGGGTCACATTCTGTTTATTTATTTTTATGGGCATTTGAGTTGTTTCCATCTAGTGTCTATTATAAATCCTGTTGCTGTGAACATTTATGTACAAGTGTTTGTGTTGAACTGCACTTTTAGTGAATTTCCCCTTATTTTATTCCTTCTCCCACTTCTGAGGGCCCTTTGCCCTGTGTTTAGAAGTGTCAGCAAAAGGACCAGGAGGTGAGGGGATCTTGCTCAGTGTCCCTCTGTCAAAGCTGCCATTAGCCCTGGGCCTGCCCTGCATCCATCTGGAGGGGAGCGAGATGAGGTGGTTCTGAGCAGTGGCTGTGTCCTAGCCTTGTCTCCCTTGCCCGTTCCCGTGTGTTTCAGGCTGAGTGTGGAGGTGGCTCTTCAGTTTCTCTTGTGTTCATCAGAGTCACTGAACAATCTACTTTGCTTGGGCATTGCCCACGGGCAGGTTTCCAAGGAGCAGAGGCAAGCCTTCCTGACCTGGAAGGCACCGCTTCCTCTCCATTACTTCCTACATCCTGGCTGGGCACTTGGACTTGCCTTTTTCTTTAAATATTATTCTCATTTTCTGGCCAGAGAGGCAGCTTGTAGAAGTTGACAATATAGAGACAGTGATAGAAGCTCCTCTGTGCCCTCGAGGTCACTGAGTGATGGTTTTGGTGGCTGCCACCTACATGCTATTTCTTTTGTAGGCAGCTCAAGTCATGCTAATGGCATGTCTCCAGTTACCTCACCTGAGGCACCATCCACACAAATGCTCCTGCTGCTGTGGGCACAAGGTTCCCACTTTCCCATCTCTGTGAAGCTGACTGTGTGTCAGTTCTTTCCTGGTGTGAGTCATGGGACTTACATGTTTATATGGAGTGCTTTGATCCAGTTACTGGACAAACAAATGAACAAATACTCTCCCACACTCATCCCACCTCACCCCAGTGGGTCAGCCTCATTAAGTTAAGCAGGTGGGCCTCTTTTTTTTAAGAACACACTTCATTGACATCAACAAGAGCACTGAGCTGTCTCACTGCAGAGGACAGGGTGCCATCAGCCAATTTCTGTCAGAATTTGTCCTACTCGTGAGCAGAGGGGGGCACAGTGCAGGAGATGGGCCCCAAGTGATCTCCAGATGCAGGGCTGCAGATCTGTGGAGCTGATCCTCATCAGTGAGGACTTGGGGTATGCACTCCAGAGCCCCCAATTAGCAGCCAGGGTTCCCACTCCCAATGCAGTCACATACTGTTGTGGGCTATCTGTGCCTCATTTGGAAAGGTGTTTCTGGCCCAGTCAGCGTGGCTCAGTGATTGAGCATTGACCCATGAACCAGGAGGTCACGGTTCGATTCTCAGTCAGGGTACATGCCTGTTTTGGGCTCAATCCCCAGTGGAAGCTGGAGGATTGAGCCTGCAGGAGGGGGCGTGCAGGAAGCAGTTGATCATGATTCTCTCTCATCATTGATGTTTCTATCCCTCTTTATCCCTTCTTCTCTCTGAAATCAATAAAAATATATTTGAAAAAAGGAAAAGTGTTTTTGGGCTTGGGCAGTCAGGCACGTGGAGCTCCACTGTAGGCTCCCCTACATGTGCCCAAGGGCCCATGTCCTCTGGATGGACACATGGTGGTTTTTACTTTGGGGCCTCTGTGTGGTGCTGCCATGAGTGTGCCCATGCAGGCTTCTGTGTGCATGTCTGCAGTTCTGGGTACATACCTGGAGCAGAATTGCTATGTCACCCAGTAACTTCAACCTTCTGAGGGGCTACTTACCACTTCCTGACCCCCAGTGCTCCAGCTGTGCAGCCCCTCCTGCTCAGGCTGTTGGAGACAAGACGCATGGAAGGTCACTTGCAGAGTAGGTAGTACTGTGCACAGGGTCTGTGCCCAGCCCTTGTCACAAGCCAATGGGTGTGGTTGGTGCCAGGTTGGCAGTGGCGCGTTGATGACCATTCTAGGAGGGCTGGTGGGGTTGTCCTTTTTCCAGGACTTTAGAGTGCTGGGAGAAGAAGGGAATCCTTAGGAGACAGCAAGGGGTGGGCATGGCCTAGCTTTTCTGTACGGCAGCCCTATCTCTGGCGATGCACCATAAGCACAGCTCTGCATACTAGGTGCTCATGCCACCCTTGCTCTGCTGTCCCTGTGTGTGGTCTCTTGTAAAACAAATTGTTCATCTTCAGTCAAAATGGGTAACAAGTGTCCTGATTGTGCTGTCCCTGTTCAGGCCCCATCCGCTGTCCCTGTGCAGACTGGCTCAGTGGAAGGGGCAGTGGCAGAGCCTCCCCGTTCTCCTGGCACCTCAGAGCTGGTGTGTCCTCTGCATGGCACCCAAGGGCAAGTTCTGCATCCCACCACACAGAAGGTTTGGCTGATGCTCTGTCCTCTCTCCAGGGAAATTCAGCTACTGCGGAGGTTGCGGCACAAAAACGTCATCCAGCTAGTGGACGTGCTTTACAATGAGGAGAAGCAGAAGATATATCCTTCGGGATTGTGGTGGGGGACCTGGGCCATGACACCTGTGTGTCTGTCTTCCCAGTTATTCCGGAACTATCTGGTGTCCTCCTGTCGCTCCATGGCCCAAATGGGAATACTGGGTCTGGAGAGAAGACACTTCCTGGCCCAGTCTAGGTGACCCCTCATTTAGGAGCCCCGTGGCTGGCACACCCCCTCTGGCATTTGGGCCTTGCCTTCTGGGGCCAGAGTGTCCTTCTGGAATACAGAGTGTCCTTGGCCTTTGCCCTTCGTTGAGGGGCACAGGCTCTCTCCAAAATGTGCGGCCCTGGCTGACTCCAGCTCCCAGAAGCAGGCTCATGAGGGCCCAGGGTCCCTCTGAGGGGTCAGTGTCCTTCCACAAGTGCCCATCACCGACTCACAGGTGCAGTGACAGGGTTCCCAGCATGTGGCTCCTCTCTGTCCATGTCTCAAGACTCCCCTCGGTAGAGACCCAGCTTAGGGGTGGAGAATTTCTGCCTGACCCTGGGCTGTCTGGCCCTGCAGCCTCCCCCCTATACCCCACTCCTGACCTGAGACTAGAGGACACTTCTAGTCTTCTGTCCCAACTGCCTCTGGTCTCCCACCACCACCTTCTAGGGCCTTCTTCCCAGCTATCCCTGGGGACAGGTTCTGCCTGGGGTGGGGTCTGGGCTGGGCTGTGGTTTCCTTAGCACTGCACGTATATGGTCATGGAGTACTGTGTGTGTGGCATGCAGGAGATGCTGGACAGCGTGCCTGAGAAGCGGTTCCCTGTGTGCCAGGCTCATGGGTGAGTGTGCATGGCCAGGCCTATGGCTGCCTCTCTGTCCTGCCATATCATCCACAGGCCCTAGACCAGTGGTTCTGAACCTTCCTAATGCCGCAACCCTTTAATACAGTTCCTCATGTTGTGGTGACCCCCAATTTCATTGTTACAAATTGAACATAATTAAAGCATTGTGATTAATCACAAAAACAATATGTAATTGTATATGTGTTTTCCAATGGTCTTAGGCGACCCCTGTGAAAGGGTCGCGACCCACAGGTTGAGAACCGCAGAACCGCTGCCCTAGGGCTTCAAGGACTCAGTCCTGTGCTCCAACAACTTTTTCTGATTACCAGTGAATTGAAGGCTCAAGTGTGCTTTAAAACTCAGAGTTTGGGTAGTTTGCAGTACCCCGGGCCAGCAGTCCCTCTCTGTGCATGCTCTGCTCCAGTGTGCCTGCTCCCGAGGCTTTGAGACCTCCTGATCCTTAGGAAGCCCCTGACAGTGATCTATACTGCCGCTGGCTGGCTAGCCCCCCTGAAGTAGCATCCCCCTTCCTTGCTGCAGGACCAGCTGGCCTGTGGTGTGAGTGGAAGAACAGTGGGGTAAGCCCAGGTCTCTGGCTCCATGGAGGACTTCAAGGGGGGCTACATGGCTATGTCTATGCCAGAGCAATTGAAGGGAGGGGGTGTTACACATCCCTTGAGCTGATGGGGACAGTAGGGAAGGGCTACCTGGCCTAGCTGGAGGGGCTCAGAGATTGCATGTCAACTAATGGACCAGGAAGTCACAGTTTGATTGCAGGTCAGGGCACATGCCTGGGTTTTGGCTCAATCCCCAGTAGGGGACATGTGGGAGGCAGCTGATCAATGATTCTCATCTTTAATGTTTCTATCTCCTTCTCCCTTCCTCTCTGAAGTCAATTAAAAAAAATTATATATCTATATATATAAAAGCTTAAGCAACCATTACGACCAAACGACTGGAATGACCAGTTGACCAGTCGCTATGACACGCACTGACCACCAGGGGGCAGATGCTCAATGCAGGAGCTGCCCCCTGGTGGTCAGTGCGCTTCCACAGCCAACCTCCCGTGGCCGGCCAACTGCTCGCGGTCCCTCCCCCTGGCCAGTCTGCCCCCATCGGCCCCTTGTGCTAAACCATTCATAGACTACCTACTTTTGAGTCAGGGTTTACTACATAGTAGAGCAGCTCCCTCACTGTGATCTATTGAAAGTCAGCCCTTGACACAAGGGTTTGTCCTGCTCCTGTCCTCGCCCTTCCCGGGGGCCACCTGCCTGCCACTGTGGCGGCGAGGGAAGGGGGAGGCGGGGAACCTCGCTGTGGCATGGTGCCAACAGTGGCTTCGGCATCTGTTCCTTCCACACCTGGCCCGGCGACCATCTCCTTCTCTCCCGACTCCACCGGGGCCTTTGGGCCCTGGGCTGGGACTGGGACCCAGGGGTGGATGGCGGCAGATGTGGCCCCTTTCCCAGGGGGGCTGAGAGCTGGCTCCAAGGGAGCTGGTGGCCAACTTCCCGCGGTCCGTTCCCCCCCCCCCCCTCGGTGCATGAATTCGTGCACTGGGCCTCTAGTATATATATCAAAGGAAGGGTTGTCTGATTGAGAGAGGGAGGTGGAAAGCCAGGGAGGAGCCCTTCTGTGCCCTCCCAGGTGCCTTGGGTAGGAGTGATTAGAGCTCTCGGGGGCCTAGCAGTGGCTCAGCCCTACCTGAGAGCCATGTTTCCCTGAGGGGCCTCCTGAACTGTCATTTCTGTTTGCTCACCCTGGTGGCTCCCGAGCTTTTGCCTCCTGTTTTTGGTTTTGCTGGGTGACCCCAGGAGGCCATTGTGTCCTGTAGGTATTTCTGCCAGTTGGTGGATGGCCTGGAGTACCTGCACAGCCAGGGCATTGTGCATAAGGACATCAAGCCGGGCAACCTGCTGCTCACCACCAGTGGCACACTCAAGATCTCTGACCTGGGTGTGGCCGAGGTAGGACCCCAGGACCAGGGTGAGGGCCGGGTGCTCCCCGGGACCACTTCCTGAGGCCGCCTGGCTCTGTCACAGGCCCTGCACCCTTTCGCTGAGGATGACACATGCAGGACGAGCCAGGGTTCCCCAGCATTCCAGCCGCCTGAGATTGCCAATGGTTTGGACACCTTCTCCGGCTTTAAGGTGGACATCTGGTCGGCTGGGGTTACACTGTAAGTGCCTGTGGGCTATGGGCCCCCTTTTTCGCCCACCCTTGCTTTGGCTATGGGCTTCTGGAACCAGCCCCTGTGGGTGGGAATGAGGGCTGCGTTCCCTTCAGTTATCAAGGGCCCCGTTTGTCTTTATTCCCACGGGTTGACAACTGGCCACGCTCATCTTGTGGGTCCCTTATGTCCTGATGCTTTATACTGCGAGTTTTCAGACATGGCAAGTTGAAAGTGTTGCTTGGCCAACCGCTATGTGCTCTCCCCCACTCCCACCCCCCATTCTGCCGCTTTGGTCTGCTGGCCTGATGGGGCATGTCCCTGAGCACTTTGGAATAACAGTGCTGATTGGCCTATCAGAGTTCTCTGGGACCCTGTTCACTCTTGAAGTGGCACTCATGCTGCAGATGATTGGGCACAGCCCCCCATCGACAACCTCCCATCCGTCTCTGCCATAGGGCAGCCGCCAGCTGGGCGTTTGTATTTCATTGAGAGAGCATTCACATACCATGTGACCCACACTGTAAAGTGTACAATCCAGCAGTTTCCAGTATTTTCAGTGGTGCAGCCACCACCCTTTATTCCAGATAATTCCTGCCCCCCAATATTGGGCCCTATATGTGGGGGCGGTTTGAGGTTCCTGTGCTAGGCAGGTTTCGGGCCAGAGCTGCAGGACAAGCCCCAACTGACTGGGCCTCTGTCCTTCCGCTCGGGGGCGAAGATACAACATCACAACAGGCCTGTACCCCTTCGAGGGGGACAACATCTACAAGTTGTTTGAGAACATCGGGAAGGGGGACTACACGATCCCAGGCGACTGCGGCCCTCCACTCTCGGACCTGCTGAAAGGTGAGGCCCTCAGGATGGAGACCAACCACGGGCCCTGGGTGGGGCAGGTCTGTCGAGGGTGGGTAGGAGCACATTTCTCCCTGAAGCATGGAGGGCGTGAGGTATGGAGAATGGCTGTGTCTAGGAAGGCTGACCCCCTGGACGCTGAGCCTTGTGCTCCACTGCCTGCTCTGACTCCTACCCCCAACCCCCAAGGAAATAGTGCCTGCTGGGTCACACTGTCCTCCTGCATTTCCCAGTCAGTGCAGCAGGTGGCGCTGTGAGACCACACAGTGCTGGCAGGTTGAGGACAGGTAGGTGGGAGCCCTAGTTGGCAGCCTGAGGCTGGCGGTTAGTGAGTTTGGATGAGACAGTTTATGAAGATGTTGCACACCCAGCACGTGGCTAGTGTGTAAGATGCTCAGTGCAGTGCCATCTCAGGTTCTCTTTCTGCCTTTAGTCTTTATGCTCTGGTGTGTGACTGACCTTATACCCTCTCCTCATTGGATGTTCAGTCAATATCTAGACTTTGCATAAGGCACAGCTGGAAAGGTCAAGTCATGTTCCCAAGCTGCCCCAAATATAGTTCAGTTTCCTAGTAACTGAGTCAAGCTGGTTCTTACATATAAGTTTATTTAGTACATCGAAGGTGGAATTGGGCTCCCGGTGCTGAGCAGAGGCCTGGCCTGCCACCCCAGGACTTTGAGGAAGATGGCTGGCTCTGGGGATGCAGCGTGGATTATTCTTGGAACAGGGAAGGAGCAAGTAGTTAGGAAGCAGCCCTCCTGTTTCCATTGCTGGCTTAAAAGGGCCCCTAGGTCGAGTTTGGCCTGGCCTTTTCCCTCTCCTTTGCCCTCTGAACACTCCCAAGTGCCCACAGGCTCCTGTAGGCCTTTGTGGGATGGTTATGGAGTTAGCACCCCATCCTCAGGTGGACCCAGAGCTTGGCCCTCGACCTCCCCCCACAACACAAGGCTTTTCTGTCCCTGGTGGTTTCAGCTCTGCTAAGAGTCAGATGTTGTGGACTCACCTTCCCTGGATAGGCGTCAGTCAGTTTGGTGTTTTCTCTACATGTACTCGTGTTCCGTGTGCCCGTTGTACCCTTGTTGATACCTGAAATGGCCCCGTGTGGGGTGATGACATGGCAGAGGACATCCCTGTCCCCGGATGCCGGCAGGGTAGCTCCATCCCTTCTCTTCTCTGTTGGCTGGGGCACGTGGGCAGTGCCTCCCCCTGCGCTGCCCATCAGCTGGGGTAGGTGGGAGGTGTCCCTGTGAGTTCTAGAGCCACCCTGGCCCTGAGTTCAAGTGTCTCAGAACCCCCAGGCATGATGGGAAGGGACATTGCTGGCAGTTGTGCCCAGGTGTGGAGAGCTGGGGCAGGGACGGGAAGCAGACACTGGCGGGAGCCTCGCAGCTGGCTACCACCATGATTTCTCCTCTTCCTCCCCACACCACTCAGACTTTCAGTTCTGAGCCTCAGCTTCCAAAATTGCTGTTTCCTGAGTACAAAGTTGCCCTCCCTTGGGTGGTGTTCACAGCTTAACGCTGCACCCCATCACCTTCTCTGCATCTTGTTCAGGAGGCATGACTGTCCTCCCACTGGGAAGGGAGCCGGAGACAGGGAGTGAGGGGTGGGAGCAGCAGAAACCGAAGGCTCTGGTGTCTCCTGCGGCTTGAGGATGATGCTGCCACTCTGGTGGTGGGCCTGGGGCCAGTGTTGCCCTTTCCAAGTAATTTTCCTGGTGTGGAACCTGCCCCAGGAGCACGAACACCCACGATGTGTTGTCCTTGCTGCCCTCTCAGGGCTCATGGGCTCCTGGCTGGAATTGTGGGTCACCGGATTTGATGGCTTTTGATGGCTGGCTGCTGATGGGGGGCTTCCATTGCTTCCTCATTCCCAAGTGTGTGGACAACAGGTCCAACACCTGTGGACTGGGGCCACAGCCTATCTGGCCTGCTCTGGTCTTGTTTTGGAAAGCAGTTTCCCATCCTTGTCTTTCCAGCCATGCTGCTTATGGTTTTGCGGTTTTCCACAGGTGGCTACATGGGGCCTTGGTGCCGGGATTGCTCTTTGTGTCCTCATAGGACAGGGCCCTGGATTTTCGAGTGCCATGTCCCCACAGTTACAGGCCCAGCACTACTAGAGAGCACCAGGTGGGTGGGGTAGAGCTGGGCAGGGGCCCATGCTGACTCCCCCGTGGTCCCCTCCTCAGGGATGCTGGAATATGAGCCAGCCAAGAGGTTTTCCATACAACAGATCAGGCAGCACAGGTGAGTGTCCTCAGGTGTCTGGCTGGGCGGGGCCCTCATGGGGATCTGGGTGCTCCAGGCTGTCCTGATGTGCTTGCTTCCATAGCTGGTTCCGGAAGAAGCACCCGCTGGCCGAGGAGCTGGTGCCCATCCCACCAAGCTCGGACTGCAAGGACCGGTGGCGTGGCATGACTGTGGTGCCCTACCTGGAGGACCTTCACGGCTGCGCTGACGATGAGGGGGAGGAGGACCTCTTTGACATCGAGGACGACATCATCTATACTCAGGACTTCACGGTGCCTGGTGAGTCTGGCAGTGGCAGTGGCTCTCAGCCCAACCTGGATGTCCCCAATGTCCCCAAGCCCTCAGGGCAGGTCCATCTACACCAGTGCAGACCCCAAGGGCCTGCTGGGGCTCACAGACAGCCATGGAAGCAGGTGGGGATCCAGAGGGAAGAGGCTGCCCAGGCTCTCTCTGCCTTAGTTCTACAGACTGCACACCATGTCCTGCCGAGCGATGGGGGAGGCCTCTGACAGCCCTGAGGGTCTAGTGGCCCTCCTGGCCGTGACACCAACCCTGACCAGTGGCCTTGCTTCCCCAGGTGGCGAGGAGGCGTCTGAGGCAGGGCTTAGAGAGGAGCGAGGCACCCAGCAGAGCCAGTACACAGACCTTTCTGCAGAGGAAGCTGAGGCCGGGGGCACACAGGAGCTCGAGGAGGAGCTCCATGCTTTAGCATAGCCACCCTGCCTACCTGGCTGTAGGGGCCAAGCTGTGCGCCCTCCACGAGCCCTCACTGACCCTGTCCGGGTGTCAGGAGGCCTGGGCAGCTGTCCCTATTGCCAGATGTGTCCCCTCGCAGCATTCATAGTTCTGTTCTGTTTCGGGGCTGGTTTTGTAGGCCCCATCATAAAGGTTTGCCCAACGCTTATGTGTGGGTGATGCTTGTCTCCCTCCCTGACTCGTCAGCTGTGTGGTAGGTTTTTATTGTAGAGAGAACCATTATGCAGCAATAGCCTGTGAGGTGGGTGGGGCCTCAGGAGCTATGTCCTTGGCAGAGCTGGGCAGGGTCCAGGAGTCCTGCTGTCCTGGGGTCTGTGGCCACAGGGTCAGCTTGGGGCTGGTGCCCATGGGGCCCCGAGTCACTGTGGCTTTGGCTTAGCCATTTCCCTGTAGGGACCTTGTCCTGGGAGACCTGGCTACATTCCAGTCCTGGATCTGAGGCCTCCTGGAGCCTCTGTCCCCTTCACAGAACAGGAGCAAGGTGTCCTGCATCTCAGGGACACGAGCCCATGACAGGTGACAAGTACCCAGGTGTCACCCTCACCAACAGGCAGCCTATTGTCCTAGCAAGGCTGAGTGAAGATCCCGAGAGGTCCCCAGATCCGGCTCCCAAGTACCCTTTGGGCCAGTGTGAGAGGCCAGAGTGGCCTTTCCCGGTGGGGATCCCCAGCCTGGGAATGTCCTCCATGCCAGAAGTGGGACAGTCCATTTCCGAAGTTGAGCATCCACTTCTCCCTGACCTGCTTATGGAGACCCCTCCCACTCTGGTCCTAGTCGGTTGGTCAACCTCAGAGGCTCTCATCTGTCCCCACCATGGGGGTCCTGCCGTCTACCCTGAGAGCTGGGCCTTGGGTCTGGTCAGTTGCTGCCGGCACAGTGCCTCGAGGGTGAGTGGGGCAGGTCTCAGATGCTGTGCTGATGGCTGAGACCCCCTACGTACTCTGTCTAGTAGGATCCTGTGAGCAGGGATGAGCTCTGACCTGGGCACACACGAGTGGGTGTGGCAAGTTCCTGAAGCCGTGAGTCGGGCCCTGGACACCCTGGGCAGAGAGAGGGCTGTGTTGGAGAGGAGATGGGGGCTCCAGGCAGCTGAGGGCAGTTTCCCACCGATGTCGCAGGAGGGCAGGCCTCAGGCAGCAAGCCAGGTTTTGGTGTGCACTGAATGAGCTTCCTGGGCCCCTCCGTGCATGCTCTCCTCTCCTCTGCCTCAGTGAGCACAGGAGTGCAAGTGAGCATGAAGCCCTAGGCCAGTGATGGCCGCCAGGATGCTCTGAGGGTGAGGGTGGGGTCATATCATGGTAGGTCCCTGGCACCGATCCCTTCATCCCAGTGGCCTATTCTGGGAGAGACACACCCAGCCTGAGCCCTGCCCCTCCCAAGTCCCACAGGGCAGCCCAGCAAGGTGTGGCCTACAAACAGGTAAGAGGGCTGAGGCCCTCACCTGTACAGGTCCCAGGACCTTGGTCCTTCACCGAGTGTCTGAGTCTTGCCCTGGCCGGCTAGCCAGCTTTCCCTCTACCTGGGTGAGAGCCCCTGCAGGCAGGACAGTGGGGTCATGTGGGGTAGGGGGACAGGATACAGGGCGTCCCCAATTGTGGACGGGGTGGGGAGGGGTGTGTGTCTTGGGTCCCCATCAGCCCACACTTGCCCTCTCCCTCCTAGGACAAGTCCCAGAAGAGGAGGCCAGTCAGAACGGACAGAGTCGGGGCCTGCCCAAGAACATGTGCATGAATGGCACCGATTCAGTGCCGCTAAGCACCAGATCGAGGGCAGAGCGCCGGGCCAGTGCCGCCTCCAACCCTGCCCGCAAGGCCTGTTCTGCTAGCGGCAAGATCCGTCGGCTGTCAGCTTGCAAGCAGCAGTGAGGGCGGTCGGCCAAAGGTGGGCCACAGCAGGGATGGCGGGAGTGGGCGGAAGTGAGCATTGCCCAAACTTAGCCAAATCATCCTCATGGACATTGCTGACCACGGCCAGTCTGCCCTTCGAAATCCTATCAGTCTGTGATCACTGCCACCAGGGTCG